CCAACTTCAACTTGTCCCTGAACCAGCTAATCAAACCATGATTGAAATTTTATTTTGAGCTCTGTAACATAAAATGTTCTGATTTCTTTGTCAAACCAAGCTTGTAAGAACATATTTTTTACCCTGGACTCATCAGTTTGTATTTTGCAAGGCATGATTTTCATAATGGCCATGAATTTCAAGTCTCTCTATTGCATATGTGTTGTAACGCTCTTCACGTAGTTCAGTAAAGGTTTTTACAGCTGTCATCAAAATTATACACACATTACCACATCTATTTAGCCTAATTGCATAACTGGTTGTGATTACACCGATTATCCAGAGAGGCAATCCATGACTAAAAGTTAAAAGTATGGAAAATTGTTAGAAACAAAACTTCTTCCTCTCTGCCAGCAAGTCCCTCTTGTAGTGAGATTTGAAGACTCAGAACAAGGTTAAAGGAGTCCTGATTATTCTGTTAGTCCACTGATCAACTGGGACACTTACTTTGGCTCTTACACTCCACAAGGATCACTATTTTGCTCAGACACACTCAAATTGGCACAAATATTAAAGTTTCATTTTATGCCCTCACAAGCTTTATTGATGCACTTATAGTGCCCGTTGACCACCTTTTCAGTCATAAGCTCATTCTCAGGCTACTGATGGTCTTCTTATGTGTTGGATTTCCAGTCTCTCAAAGTTATTAATGTATTTCCAAAAATAATGTGTTTACTTATGTAAACAAAGGTCCAGGAAAGAGAAGCTAGGATATTGACTGTCCAGTACAGTCTGTGCAGATGAAAGAAAACAAGAAACCAGTTTCTCCAATATCTTGCAAGTACAACTCAATTAATCCATACACTAGCCCAAAAACCTCAGTGGATGATGACAGAAAAATTAGCCTTCTTTCATTCTAGATCCAGCTGAGCAACAAAAGTCAGGCAAAAGCTCAAAAAATTAGTTTGGCTCTCTCACATGTGTATTGATGGTAACCATCACCATTAGTCCAGAAGTGTTAATGACCCAAAAATTCTCTTTGATTTTTCTAAAGTCATAAATAATTTTTAGCTGCCTTCGTAAGTACTACATTTTTGGTTTTCACTGCCTTAAAACCCCTTTACTTTTTTTGTTCACAGCCAGTACTAGGATGCCAAAATCTATGGATACCCACTATGATGAGGGTGGGTGTTTGGTTACGTGGTGGCTGCACCACAGCAACTCAAAGCAGCTCTTCTGTCCTGTCACTCACATGCTGGGTGCAGTTACACCAGCACAGTGGGAAAGCTCTGGCAAAGCAACAGGACATGGGACCTCTTTCTGGGTTGCACAAAAAATGCCTGATATCTGCCAGGTCTGCACTGAAAGGGGTTTTGAGGCTTTCACAGACTCTCTGCCATCTAATCAGTAAAGGAAAACAGAGACAAGACCTTAAAACCATTTTAGAGCTACCCCTCTGAAACACTATAAAACCCTTTAAGAAGATGAAACTAGTAGTCCTTATGAAACTCATCTGACCAGACAGGACCTCTCTGCCCAAATTAAAGAGGCTACAAGTCGTAACAAACTCCAGATTTTTCTTCTCTTCCCAAGCATGAGAAACACCAGGTTGGATGGGGCTTTGAGCAACCTAGTCTAGTGGGAGGTGTCCCTGCACATGGCAGGGGGGTTGGAACAAGATGATCATCAAGGCCCCTTCCAACCCAAACCATTCTGTGATTCTATGAAATCACTAACAGGCAAACCAAGAAAAAAGGAGGCAGAACCATAGCAATCCTGGGAAAGTGAAAGCCCTCCAATAATTTTACTGATAAGTAAATTACATTTAGGAAAGTTTTATTTTTCTTTCTTCCATGCCTTTTTTTTTTTTTTCTTTTTTTCTTTCTTTGACTTGATGGAATTTTACTGAAGAACAAGGACCATGCCAAAATCCTACAGAAAGGGCTTTTTTTTGCCTTTTTTCTTTTTCTGTTTTGTCTCTTAAATTTCACAAATACTTTCCAAATCAATATAGCTAACCTGTACTAATGAAGGTGTTAATGTGGGTGTTAAACAAGGCTTCATCAAATGATAAATAAGACGATACATCTCACACCTCAAAGCCATCCCAAGGTTATAGCAATCCAGTTATTGACTGACTCTAGAGCTCTTCATTATACTTAATACTTTATGGACTACTTCAAAACCATGCATTACTAACTGAGTAGAGATCATTAAAGAATACCATCTGGTCCAGTTAACAAGCCTATTAGCCTCTGAAGACTTAAGGGATTTTGCCTGGAAGGATTTTATTCACTTAGAAACTTGAGCTTCCTGAGGCCCTTTTCCAGAAGAGTGAAGCAATGGAATGGTGCAGCTTTTCCCCACACTCCCTCTCCAGGTTGAGTCTGAAACTCAGAGCTGAAGAGCCTTCACTTCAGGCAGATGTCTGTCTTAAGACCCTGTGTATCACAGTCAGGCTCCAAGTTTCTCCTTTCTTCCTGTAACCCTTTCCAATGGCTTAACCTTCAGCAAAATTTGAGCAGGCTGGGGATTTTTAATTCTGCCTTCAGTCTGGCCACAGTTTCACAAGACTTCTCTGAAACGAGAAGCTTGTTTGTATCCCAAGCCCATCCCCTACGGATAGTGTGGTTATAACAGCTTTAGCATGTGGACATCTCTGCCAGAGACTGGGCAAAACAGGACGTAAAATCTGTGCTGGCTTATTTGTGCTGGTTATAATTGTGTGCCAAAGCCAAATACTAGACATTTTTTAACAGTAGTGTTGAGCTATTGGTGATTTTCCTTCAGCTGTTTGTCACTTTCACTCCCATGGGGTTCTACTGTTTAAATGCAGATATCTGCATCTGACCTTGCTGTTTAAATGCCCCTGTGGAACAATAGAGACAAACAGGTCCTTCTGACTTTTTCTTTCATCCCAAAGTAGATATCTAAAATAGGTCAAATGACTCAATCTTGGAGTAAGCACTTGCCTACTTTTAGGCACCCATTGACTTTAAAGAGTGCCCAGGGACTCACACAGACATCAGCACTCATGATACAGGTTTCTGAAATTAGATTGAATTAATCCCCTTCTGCAGATCTGTATGCCATTGAAACAGGTATTTTCAAGTTTAGGATCGTATTTGTACAAATAAACTCCTCTCCACATGCAGAGTATGTGATGGCTTCAACACCCACCCCAGGACTGACTTTCTCAGGTGTGGAAAAGCATTGCTTTGGCCTCCAGGGCTGGAGGGCAGGCAGTGCAGGAGATGCTCATCCAGCCTGGAGAGCGAATGGTTTTCTCTCCAGGGGAATGGAGCATCCTGAGTTTTATACCACCCCAAAAAGTCCAAGAGAAACTTAAGGGAAAACAATACATCTGATGCATGACACCTAGTGTAACGATCATTCTAGGTTTTTTACTTTGCAAAATGCCATAGTTATGCAAGTGATGACAATGCCCAATATTTGCAGATAGAGAAGAAAATCCGTTATCCACACTCTTCATATGTTATGTTGCCTTGTCCTCAAAAGCTGCCTAATTGCTTCCTTTTATTAAAAATGATATTTTCTCCTTTGCTGCTTCAGCACAGTGGCTAGGTTAGTGCTGACCCTGTCCTCTCTCTCTCTAACACATCACTGCATTTTTAATTTGCTTTTTCAGTCATTGTCCTTAATTACAACATTGCTTTTACTTGAAAATCTTTCTTACACGTTTTTCTCATCTGTCTAGATAATATATCACAAAGTATCTTCCAACATAGTAGATCCATAGTGTGGGAGTCAGCTTAAGACTGAAGCACAAAAAGTTTTGTACCTACTTGGGAGATGGGCATTGCACCCAGTATATCCCTTGTTCATAGAGTTAATGGAGCCTTGAGAGTGATTCAGACTGCAGTCGGACCCCTTCAGGGTGAGCTGTAGCCCCTCATAAGTTCTACCTACCTCACCCATCAGGTGTCAGGCAGCACTTCCCCTGTTTCTGCACACTTTGGTTTGGCAGGAGCCCACCAGAACAATGTGATGCAGACTGACGTGTGTGCAAGCAGAAGAAATTGAGGCAATCCTGTCTATTTTATAAAGCCCTGGTTCTCCTTATGGCAATCTTTCTTCTGCAGTATCTACTTTATTTGCAAAATCTCTCCTGTAGATCTTCTCAGAGATAAGTGCTGAATGGAGTAAAAATAAAATCATCATTTTAAACACTGCTAAGCCTAAGTCATATTTAGAACCTGCCAGAGCCCTTATGTGCTACCAAGTATGTGACAGTGACCTAGAAAAAGACATGTCCAGGAATTATTAATGCAGTAGGTTGAAGAATCCTTTCCCCTCTCCTCTTGCAATCTTGTAGAGGAGAGGACAGTGATACATTGGGGCTGTACATCTGCACCAAAGTCATGGTCCATATAGTGCCACTTATTTCCCATGGCAAATTTCTCTGCTTTTAAATGTCACCATCAGGAAACAGCACTGTCCTAACAGGAGGGGAGGGAGGATAAGTGTGTACAATATAATGCTGTGAGATTTGTCTTCAGGGAAAGGATAAGAGTCAGAAAATAGTTCACAGCTGGATGCCATGCTGTGAATAAACTAGGCTATGGAGGTTATGGCCAGAAGAATGATTAACCAAAATGTATCTGTTTTGAGGATAAAAATTGCTCAATTTAGGTAGCCTGTGGATTTTCCCTGCAGCTGCATGTTAGGACCCTAACAATTGGGCAAGCAAAAGAATTGCACATGAAATTTCTACTCTATCCTTGTAAACAGCCTTGCTATCAAATCAATAAATGAAGCCTTATTGCCCAACATTGAAAAAACCCAATTTCCAGATGAAACATCTGGCAGGGGAGGGAGGGGAAGAAAAAAAGTGGTCTCCACATTTTCAAGCTATGAGAGACTTTGGAATGGTTCAGGTGAGAGCGTTACCAGAGAGGAGTGTTGAACCCAGTCTGTCTCTATGTGAAGCATTTTATCAAGCTTTAGTACTTGATGTCTGATTTGTCAGCTTCATTCTCTCCTCTTTCTTCTCTCATCAGGAGGCCAAGAAGACTGCATCCTTTCTTATGAACCTGTCACCAGACAGGAAAGTAAGTTCCATCTGCTTTTCTGACACTGTTCCATATATTTTTCATTTCACATTTGGGGGCCAACAGAGCAGTAAGCCTTGCTGTGCCAGCCCCAGATTCTCTATGGCTCCATTTCCTTGGCCACTCAGTCTATCACATACAAAAGAAGTTATGTGGGGGTGTCCCTTGCTAGCCCCCACTTCCTAACTTTCTCAAGGGTCTCCCCAGCATGCTCTCATGGCTTTTACTAAGAAGTACATTAATTAGTCTACCAAATATTGATGCAGATTTTCTAGATTTACTGCAATATTATTACATGGGAAGCCTTTTTAATTTTCCTTCTCATGTGATATGTGCCTCCATCTGGGGTAGATGAACCTATGGGAAGGCAACAGAAAATGGGAGCACTCCTGATTTAATGGGGGATGCACTCGCATAACTGAGGAGAAAAATATCCTACAGTCTCCTTTCCATGCCTCATGAGCAAGTCCATCTGCAAGCATTCAGGAGTGACCTTCTTGCGTGATAGCAAATATTTATAGCTCCACATTCTTGTCTTAACTCTATGTGCATGCACCATCACAGAGCTCTGCAAATGTGTGGTATTTGTTCCATTTTCCTTATCCATGCCAACAGATACATTATTCATCAATAAACTGCATGCCTAAGTTTTCACTTCATGCATAAAACAAACACTGGTCAGTTCATCTTTGGGAAGATATACTGTTATTGCCAATAAGATCAGTAAAATGTGCCTTTATTTTTGTTGTTCAGTTAATTACACCAGGCCAGTTATTATTCTGGGTCCTATGAAAGATCGGATCAACGATGATTTGATATCTGAATTCCCTGATAAGTTTGGGTCATGTGTACCACGTAAGTATGATTTTAATCCTTGTTCTGCAGCTGAGGAAGTGGTATCCCTTGGTGCCACAGATTAAGTGGATTGCTGTGAAAGCAGTATCCTTGAACTCTATGTGTTTGAGTTTCTCTAAGGCCATTTTTCTATTGGGAAAAAAAGGGACAAACAAAAAAAGATTGTGAAGGTCTGAAAAGAATATCTCAAAACAATTGTCTCAAAAACTGTAGCATTTTTTTTTTAAACAAGAAACCTTCCTTTTTTAAAAGGGAGGCAGGGGAGGTTCATATTGGATATTAGGAAGAGTTTCTGTACTGAAGTAGTGGTCAGGCACTGGAACAGCCTGGCCAGGGAGGTGATTGAGTCACCATCCTTGGAGGTGTTCAAGAAACATGTAGTAAAATGTAAAATGTTTCAACTCATCACAGCATCCATCAATAAAAATACAGAGTAATCTGTGATTTGTGTGAGATCTAGACTGTTTAATCTGAAAGCAATATTGGACCACGAATTAAGCAGTGTTTACATCTTGGATCATTAGAGTTTGCTGAGTGTTTATTTCAGGCCCTAATTACAGTCTCTCTTCATTTTAAACTGTTGTCTCTGCAAATATACCAGCTTAAAACTGCTAGAGATGAGATCAGAATCAGTCTTATAATTAAGGCTAAATTAGTTTGATGAGATTGTGGTTCATTTTGTCCCTGTAATAGGATTAGATTTATAATCTGGAATGCATTTTGTATTTGGAAAATGTGTGTGATCCTGCT